ACAGTAAGTTATTTTGAGTTAAATACACGTGTCGGCGAGCAGTACAAAGTTTCTTCGCCAACAATAGAAATCGATGGTTTTACCGATCCGATATCGAATCCAAGCAAAATTTGTCTTGGGTTATTGTCCAATGTTAACAGAAATCAGCAGATTGAATCCACAAGAAGACGCATTGGCAAAGGTTGGCTTTCTTAGTAATTTTTTAAGTGCTTTGCTTTCAGAAATCAATTCATATTACAGTCTGCGCAAAATATCTTTGCTTTAAGGCCTGGTTCGAAGAGAACCGTTCATTTTATAGTCATTATTTTTTTCTGTTATGCTTTTTCTGTTATGTTTTAGTTATTATTTTTTTTTCTTCTTTTTACCTGACTGCTTTAAGTTTAGCCAAAAAAATGCATGGTCACACCGGCAAGCCTGGGACGATGCTACTTAGCTTAATTTTGATTTACAGGTGTGAAACTAACATATGTGCCGCATCAGGGCACTCTGTTTGCGGAATGTCAAAGCGAAAGCGCAATATTTATTCAATCACGCAACTGCAATTACTTTCATAGTTTCCATCCAACAACAGTGTGTAAAATAACAAATGGAATTTCGTTGAAAATTTTTGATTTGGCAAAGTTCCGTCAGGTTTGTGGCATTTTAAACTCGGCTTCATTCATTTTAATGCATCTATTCAGAAGCCGAAAACTCCTCGCCCTCACTTTTTCATGAGAGACGGAAGCATTTGGAAATAGTCAGCGTGGCAGCACTGTCGACAGCAACCGCCTGCTGTCAAAGCTGCCGGCAGTTCCGTCTTGAGGAATGCTTAGAAGCTGATGACGGATTTAGTTTCTAACATAAGCCAGTAAGATGGATGGTTTTTCGTGGTGCCAGACCTTCAACACGAGAACTACGTTACTTGATACTGTCCAGCAACCATAGGTTACATTTGTGTAAAATACAAAGGATACACTTTAAAAGAGCACAGGGCATTTGAGCTTGGCTTATGCCTCACTGCTTCAAATGCGTTATGAGCTTAGTTATTCCTTTTGAAAACTTAATGCTTGGAACAGCTCTCTGTTGTTCACAGTATCTTTTCCATCCATTCATTTAACAAGCTTTCCACTTCTACAGTTTCTACTTTTTACTTCTTTGTTGTTTAATTTAACATGCCTCTTTCTTTTTTCAGCTACTGGCCGAATCGACCCGTTGCTGCTCGTTTGATGCAATTTATGAATTAACGAATATGACAATAATACGGATGTCGTTTGTGAAGGGTTGGGGTGCCGAGTATCAAAGACAGGATGTTACGTCGACTCCATGCTGGATCGAAATACATCTCCATGCTCCGCTTCAGGTTTATCATTTTTTCTTTTTCGCCCAAAAACGGACTTAGTAACTAGCTTCAGGTTATCAGGAGGTCTGGAAAATACAGTTTTTATGTTTCATGCTGTAACAGTTGCAAGGGACGCATATTATTACACCTCTGTGTATGTGTGTCTGCGTAAATTTTGTCCTCGCTTTTCAGTTCTAGAACCACAGAAGCAGTGAAGCTGAAGTATTTCAAATTTAGGTATTTTATGGTTATGGAAAAGGTTGTAAAAAGACAAAAGTAAAAACAAAAATAATAATTGGCCAACGCACGGGCTGCCCGTGCGAAGATGCGTTTTTTGCATAGTTCCCCACAGTT